ATTGGCAACTGCAGAGTTGTCATCCGTATGCGCAAGTTGTTACGGGGCCAATGTTAGAGCCATGTTTGAAAGGAAACAAGAACGTTCAACTGCATTTAAAGCTGAAGAGATGTCAAGCGCTGTAAAGCATGTCTGGGCTCAAGACTTTAGATTATCTGGACTCGAATCCTAATTCTTGGCCAAAATGCATTTATGCGCAGGTGTTGTCACAATATCAAACTTGCACCGGTAACCCGAAAGTAAGATGCATGTGTTCCTGATCAAGCGCTGGTATTTTCTGGGAACCTTCAACCCTGCAGGATGTGCTAAGTGAGTTATTGATTCCTCTGAGCCTCTTGAAGAGCGAGCACTGAGGTGCTGTTTTTAAATGGCGAAATCATGTTTGATGGGAAACGCTGGAAAAATGAACTTTGTTCCTCATCCAACTGCTGGGGGAACTCGCCCTTTTGTTCTACCGCAATCCTTGCGGCTTTGAGTTGGGTCGACATCCTTGGGGCTATCAGGACGCGCCCCTGCACATTCTAGCACACCATGTTAGCCTTATGGATGACTTGGAAATGTCCAGAAAGGGTTTTCTGGGAATCTTCAGTCTTACCGACAAATCCAGGATGTGCTGGCACATCCCACTAGCACATCCTGAATTGAAGATTCCCAGTTTCTTCTTCTAGGAATCTTCAATCCTCAACTTTCAATCCAGGATGCGCCAGCACGTGATTGAAGAGGAGCATTTTGACACCTACCCATTTAGAGGTGAGGCAGCCCTGCCAAAGTAAAGTGGTCTTCCAAGTACGGGTGGCCAGAGCCTGGCAAGGCAGTCGAATGACCTGAACCACCTCAATCAACGCCGCGTGCCACTCACCGATTGAGCTTGTTGAATCTTCACGCTACCCTTGGTTGCACGCTGAGAGTAGAACCCCCCCCCCCTCCCAGGACCTTTCGGGCTAGTGCCTTTCCAGGAAACCTCCCCAAGCCTAATTTCCCTGGGCCATCATCTTGAGATGCAGAGCATTCCTTTCTTGGATAATAGATGGCCCTGATAGATGAAACAAAACAGCTTAACCAGGGCTTGCCATGCTCCACCAAAAAGGACACCTATGTTCAGGTGAGTACCGGGCTCCCAAGATGTCCTTCCGTGATTTGCAGGGATCACCTGGGTCCACTTCAGGTGAGTCACAATCAAAACCCGGTACAAACATGGTCTACCCAGAATGCTTCAAGAACCAAGAAGGCGGCACCCACTTATGGCAAGGGGCTTGTCCTACCCTCCAATCACCAGGAGTTTGATTGCGGCTCCGAGTCTGGGCTTTACACAAAAGGAGCCCTCTTCCATGGGCCCAGCCCAGGCCTCCCGCGCCGCTCCCGGATCCTGCAAGCGAATGCCCCTCAAAGATGTGTCTTCTTGCGAGGCCCTTTGTGGGGTTGGGTTTTCCACGGAAACCAAAGGGAATCCCCTGGAAAAATGATTGAGCCATGTGAGTCACGGTCAAAAGTTCCGGTTTGTGCTTCGCGGTGCAAGGGTGTCGTGCAAGGGCATCGTTGTTTGTGCTAGATTACCAAGGGAAGAGAAAAAATATGCCCAACCTAATGGATGCAAGAAACCTGATGAACAACACTTCCTGCTTGTCGAGTCCCTTGTCACTTGTCTTCGTCACCCTCTCTTCCACACAATACACCAAACCCAGCGAAAAGATGCCAGAGGGCAATGCAACTTGTCCTTTCCAACTGGAATCAATGTATCTCCATGTCCCAACCTTGTGCTTGCACACGAACAAGTGTTCTTTGCGACTAAACATGAGCAGAACCAAACAAATGCAAAGACTGGAAAAAGGCTCACCGCGGGGGCATCCAAATCGATGTAGCAATTTGGATGACTTTAACGGGCGAAGTGCTAAGAACCTAACCTCCCGAGACAAGAACGTGTGCAGTGCATCTGCCCGTTCTGCGTAAATGAATTCCACTTGGGAACCCTTTGGTGGACATGATTCAGGTCGCGATTTCTGCCACCTGGTTCCCTATTCATCTATGCCCATATTCCCTTCCTGAGCGGAAAAGCCTGAACGTCTTGTTCACCACTAAATTTGTCTTCACAAAAAGCTTCGAGTCCAGGAACTCAGGGCAGTGAGATTGAGCCTCTTCATTCCTAAGCCCGCAGTTGCATGGCACAAGGACCTCTCAAGACCAGTGCCCAAACCGCGGATTTAAAAGGAAAAAGAGCTGAGCGAAGCTTCGAAGCGATTCCGGGAGCCTGGGGTCTTTGTTCAGAACAAACTTTTTGAGCGCAAGCCGGCACCATCCCGCCCGGCGAGACAGGTTGCGGTTACTTCGGAACCACCAGACAGGCACAAAAGGAGCTGCCAATCCTTTGAGTCGAGAGACAAGAACCAGCTGAACGAGGAACTGACATCCCAGTGCCTCTCTCGCCATCCTCTGACACAACACATCCTAAGACTTGCTGGTGTGATTCCCTTACCGGAAACCACCAATTGGATAATTTAGGGTTTCAGATCATGAGCCAATTTCTGCTTCCGTGCATCTCTCGCACCGATGGCAAGCTGCTTCCCCCCGGAAGAAAAAACGAAACCTACCGTTAGGAGCTCGGCTCAACTGGCGCCCCAGAAGCTGACCGGTCGCTGGCCATAGGCGTCCCTTTTGGTCGACAACAGATGGGCTTCCCTGGGAGTTGATTGAAGTACCAGGCAAACCAGGAACCGCCCCACCGATTCTTACACCGAATCAACCAAAAAAAGGACGCCTAGGTTGCTTGCTGGACCTCTGAAGGGACCACCCCTTCCAAGCCAAACGGCACATGGATCAAGCTGGGAGTCCTGGGACGGCAGCTGTTCCGGGCCCCGAAACCCAGATGTTGAGAGCAGAGCTGGGCTCGTGTGTCGTGAACCTAACGCAAAATTCAGGTACCCAATAGTTGGCGGCTTGGATTGGTGGCTTGCGGATTTGAACCCCGAAACCCCTCCTTAAAAGCACCCATCCAAGCCACCAATTGGAGGGAAGCTAAAACGCATCAAAACCGCCGCCCCGGGGCCCGGGGCCTTGGTTCGGCGCCGGTGGGGCGAGCTGCTGCTGCGAGAGGACGGGCGCACCTGCGAGGCCACACCGAAGCTTTGGCGCCAGTAAGTGGGGCAGGGGAGAGAGTGTCTGCGCCCAAAAGGGTGAGCTCGGTGGTTTTCAAAGCCAACCGAAATGAGCTTGTAGGAAACTTGCCAAGAGGTGAAAGTAGACTGGACAATTCATGCCGCTTCTTTGCGGGGTAGGGTGCTTGTGAAATTGGCAAGTCTAAGCAGGGAAGAACCTGAGGTTTGCCAACCCGGCGCAGCGATTTTTCGGGGCGCCAGAGTTGCTGCTCCTTTCCTCCCACTAGCAACGACAATGGCCGGGTGGCGACATCCCCTTTCGCCCTCACACGGCGAAAGAAGCTTCCACCGAGCCCCGAGCCGTGGGAGTCCCCCACCGGGAGTTCAGCAGGGCAACTTGGGCGACCCAATGAGGCGAACTTGGTGGCTGGCGAGACCCCCCTGCAAAAAGCTTTTTTAACTTTTTGGGGGTTAAGTGGAAAGCACCTTTACTTCCCAAAAAGTTGAAGTCTAAAGATCCAACCCAATAGCAGTCAAGCTAAATTGGCAACTGTCCAGGAATCACGCCGACTGCCTCTCCTGAGGCGAACATAGCTATGGATTCAGAACAAGTTCAGCCCTCTCTAGGGCTCACCCAACAACATGGGATTTGCAGGGTGACACTGAATCTGAGTACGAGGAAACTGACAACCCAACTCGGGGGGGGGGGGGGGGGCCCTTCTGGTTCCTCTCTGACTCACCGAAAGGCATGGGACGGGGTCCAGGATATGCTCCAACGGAAAAGCTGGAGGGGTGTATTGCATAGCCCCCAAACCTCTTCTAGCGGTCCCCTAGTTGTATCTCGAGCCACACAAAATACGCAAACATAGACACACACACACACACACACACACTTCAGCCATCTGGCTGGTCGTCGGTGCGGCCGTCTCCTTTCCTTTCTTTGCAACAGGCGAGTTTTGTCCAGTGCAGACTAGAAACTGTCCTGCGCTCGTCTCGCTCGAAGGTGCGAAATCCGAATTCACTCGACGCCCGGCCCAGGTCTCGACACGTTTAGGGGGCTTTGAACACAGCGATTGTATCAGACTCTTGCTGGTGCTATAGGTAGGGAATGTGGGAATGAACCGTTTTGGGATCCCCGAAGAAAGGAAACCACCAGTTGGATGGTTTATAAGGGTCAGTCCATTTCTCATTCCCTGACCAGCAAGCAAAGGAATCTTGGTTGCAACCACCCCTCTGCCCAAAGTTTATCGCCTTGTCTGGGCTCAATTCGGAAGACCCCACAGATTGCCCCCGAAAAGTTGAAGCCTAAAGATCTATTGCCGAAGCGTTCGATCCGGCGGGCCGAAGCTTGCACTATGCACAAAGTACACAGGCATCGACCCAGTCGTGAGTTCAAAAGTCTGGTCTGAGCACTGAGCACCCCCCCCACCCTGGCAGGAAGACCTGGAATGACAGCCTCTACTTTCCAACGCACAGCTTTTTCAACTTCGCTTGCTCTAGACTCAACAAAAGATGCAGGCGCCATTGAGCCATCAGCCAAATCCTCCCTGCCCCTGCGCCAAAAATTGCCGACCGGCCCTTGCAGAGCGGCAGAGCACAGGACCCCGTGCATGCCAGATTGAGGCATCCGGCGGAGAGGGTTCTGAAACAGGGGCGTGCGCGAAATCCTAGACCAAGCGCAACGGATCGACCTGAGCCGCCCTTCTGGCCGGCTCGGCTATGCTTAAGATCGGGGTATTGTTAGCCAGTGCCACTCAATTGCCAAACGGAAAGACAGCCCGGGCTGAAAGGGAGCGGGCCCGCTTTGTTCCAGGTTGCTGTAGGTCTAAAGCATTCAAACAGTGGTGGACCGCCATGGTCGTGTTGTACTCCACTTCAAATGGCCCAATGGCCATTTCTCCTCAAACTCCAAAGGCGTCTTCCATGCTCCCGCGCAGCCCGTGCCATCCACTGGGCAGGAGCTTTCCCCCCCGCCCGCGCCGCACAAAAACCACACACGGGCCAATTGGACCACTGGCCCACCTCAACCGAGGCGCACGCCCTGCCTGGCGACGGGACAAGAGCGCGTGTCATACACCACCCCCAACACGCACAACGGGGAGGTCTAAAAGAGACCAAAACTGGTTGTTTTTTTTGGGGTGGTGCTCGGAGAGCAGTTTCTCCCTAGAAATTAACAGGGGACACCCTTTTGAGATCCACGTATCAAATACCTCGGAGAGCACTAGACTAGGGGTGAAGCCTGCCTGCCTGTTCGTCCCCAAACATGAAGCAATACGGGCATGAATCTGGTGGGCATCACGTAGTAGGCGAAAATGTATGTCCACCGCCCATGTTTGAGGCGGCTTATTAGAATTCATAGCTTCCCACTTCTGTGACACTGAGGCAAAACAGCCTTTTCAATGATAGATCCTTCAGTTCACGGTGGGCAACAATTCTCTGTGTCAGCAGTTGCAAAAGGGAAACAACTGGCCTTTAAACACAGAATAAACGGCCAAATCTTCAGAGTCTGCCAGCAAGTCATGGGTTGGCACGATCTCCAGTCTCCCTCCCCCACCCCCCACCCCCCACCCCCCACCTGATTCCCCTATAAGCATCTCCCTCTCCTCTGCTTGCAACATGGCAGCAGCAGTTACAAATGGGAGGGGGCAAGTGGCCCGGAAACAATCCATGGTACGGCAAACCATTTGTAGATGTTTCCAGGCTCCAGATCCACCTTGCGGACCCCTAGAGCGCGACTCGAGATCAACCCGGTGTCCCTGCCTTCGAAGCTCTTTCTGTACATGGGTGATGTCGACCTCCCTCCTCAGCCGCATGACCCAAAACGACAAGAAAAAGGCAACAGCCAGTGCCCGAGCTCCCTCAAAGGCATCCACCAAGTGTTGCGCCAGTTCTCGGAAGAATCCCCGGCTCGAAACAAATTTGAGGACACCAGCTCGTCAGACATCTCAAGTTGCCGCATCCCAAGGCATCTCAAAATGCTCGTCAGACTTCTCAGCTAGAAGGATGTTCAGATTCATTTGGGTGTGGCTCAAAATTAAACAGGCGGGGTTACGCAAATTTTGGTCCCTGTGTCCACTTACCAGGGCAACCCATTTTGGGTACCGGTTTTTTGAGCCACAGCCATTTGGAGACATCCTTTGATCCTTCACGCTTTGAACAGAAGACCGGCTATCTTCACCCGAACGGTCAGTGACTCTATCGCAGTTGGGCATCTTGTGGCTCAGTGAGCTCCACCAAAGCGAAGCTCAAGACGCGGGGGAAGGTAAAAAGTGAGCCATGAGAGAGGACGGAAGAACTCTTCAATCAAACTTGCACAAGCAAACATGCAAATGTGAAAACAAGAAACAAAGGGACCCAAGTCGAGGACGCCCCCCCCCCCAAACAAAAAAGGACTTTGGTCTTCCTTGTGGCTTTCCTCTAAACAAGGCCATGCGGCTGCTCAAAAAGATGGTCCTCAAAATGGCACGAAACAAAGACTAAAAAAAAAAAAAAAAACGACCTCTTCCATTTCTTGAGCCCATTCCCCTAGGTTCGCCTCCACCTCTTGTTGCCGCCTCTCTCAACGCCCTCCGCCCCGTTCATGTGTCCTTTTCGGGGAAATTAGATGGCCCTGGAGATGATTAAACCACCAGGTAAGCCAGGGCCATCTATTTTTCTACCAAAACAACCAAAAAGGACACCTATGCCTCGGCCCCTTTCGCCACCGGGTCTGCCTTGGGCCCCCGCGTGCGGCGCTTCTGCTGGATCGACACCGCCGCCGCCACGCCGGCGGCTTGGCCCGTCACGGTGCACGCCTCCGGACGGCGCGGCGGAAAGAGGAAGACAGACGCACCCTCCGGAGGGCGCGTCTGTCTTCCTTTTTGAGGGAACATCCCCCCCAAAAAAAAAGAGGGGGGGGTTGTTTGGGAGGAGAGAGGGGGGGGGCCTTTTTAGGTTTCCGTGCCCTTGAAAAAAAAAACACCCCCAAATGTGCTGCTGTCTCGGGTACGGCTGGATTTGCTTGTGGCCCCCAGAGAGCGGTGCTCTTTGACTCATTGCCCTTTGATTCGTTGGTTCGCAGCTCGGAGGAGTTTGGTGACGTCGAAAGACTTGCCCAAAGCTTTAGACCCCCTTCCCTGCCCCCAAAGGTGCAAACACCCTTGAGACGGCCCCTGGATTCTTGTCCAACGTTCACGCAAACAACCTACATCATGGCTTGTGCTGAGGCCAGGCACAACTGCCGGCCAAAACCACCCCACTCACATCAGACTCGCCCGACGAAAAGTCGCATCTGGGACCGGGGCAGCGGGTTTCTTCCCGGGGTACCCGGCCATCATGTTGCGCATGGCGGCGTGGGAGACCCGGTCCCCAGCCACAGACTCGGATGGGTCGGCGAGGGGGTTGGCGCCGTTTCCGGGCTTGACCCCCCCCCGCTTTGGTTCCGAAGGAAAGACCCTGTTGTGCTGAAACTCGTTTTTCTTTTGTTTTCCATTACTTTTGGGGGGTCAAAACCATCTTCGACGTTGAAACCTGTGTCGGTTCGGCGCTTGAAGAAGGTGCATCAAAACCGGGCGTTTCCAGATGCAAACCTGCCATGACTTCCCGAAACCAAGGCGGACGAGTTGCAAAGTTTGCAGACCAGGGTATTGCAGAATCGAAAATCGATGATTCCTTCTTCTTTCCCTTCGAACACCTACACTCCTTCCCGCACATCAGACTTACATTGGGAGAGGCTGTGCTCTGGTCAAGCCATGGGTGGAGATGTCAAAAGAAGTAGGGGCCGCCTATAGAAAAGAACCTAGGTGATACCAAATCGAAAGCTGTCAGCTGTTGCGTTCTGTCCAAAAACCTGATAATCCCACGATTCCGAATGCAGATTGGAAATCAAACAAAGAATAATAAACAAACGAACTGGATGCTGCTACACGGCTGATGTTAGCGTTGCTCAGAGATGTACTTGTGTGGAGACGTTGCTCGATGCATCTAAGAGATACTGCTGCCAGCCGATCAATGCTGGCGAGCAACAGTTTAAAGCCGCGCACTTGAATCAGCAAGACTTCTGGTCTGCATGTCCGGACGACTACTCTGGGAGGTTCACCGAAAATCTAGCTGTTGGCCTAACACTTCCACCTGAAACTACTCAGCGACAATTCTGAGTCACATGTTTGTCTAACACTTTTGTACTACACTCCTACCTTGACCTTTCGCAATCGCCTCGCAACTCGACATTCGTCGATTCGAAGCGTAGTGGCACGCCCGGCCACCAGCAAGTTGTCCGGGCCCGTCTTGGGCACCATGCACCCGAAGGGCACCTCTTCAGCATCGCGCAAACCCCCGCAAAACAACGATGCGAAAAGCGGCGGAACTCGAGGCTCCAACAAGGCACGGAAGGAAGACGTTTACATTGTGTAAATGAGTGTATGTGTGAATGTATGTGAATGTGTGTGTGTGTATGCAATACGCTTACACCTGTATGCATGCATGCATGTATGTATGTATGTATGTATGTATGTATCTGTGTATGTTACACCAGGAATGAATCATGTCATATGCAACATTTATGACGCGTGTGTGTATATATATATACATATATACACACATTGGCGTTGCGCTCCGTTGCGTTGCGTTTCTCATGCGTGTTCCAGGTATATGAGATATGAATTTGCATATGTCGATGTAAATAGATATGTTTATATGAATATAGGTACGCAGTATACATGTGCACATGTACATGTGTATATGGATGTATATCTACTTTGTTTTGTGTGCATGTGTGTGTATATGTACATTTGTGTATGTATATGCATGTATTGTACATATATATATATATATATATGCGTGTGCGTACGTGTATGTATGTATATGTACGTATATGTATGTTTGTGTATGTACATGTATGCATATGTATGTACATGTATGTATATGTATGTACATGTATGTATACGTATGTATGTATGTATGTATGTATGTATGTATGTATGTATGTATGTATGTATGTATGTATGTATGTATGTATGTATGTATATGTATGTATATGTATGTATGTATGTATATGTATGTACATGTGTGTACATGTATGTACATGTATGTACATGTAAGCACATGTATGTACATGTATGTACATGTATGTACATGTATGTACATGTGAAAATGTATGTAAATGTACATACATTTATATGTATGCATACGCATGTATATGCATGTACATGCATTCACATATATGCATGTGTATGTGTGTGTGTGCTAGTATATGTATGTGTTTATATGTATGCACATGTAAATGCATGTATGTGTATGTGTACGTATATGTATGTGTGTATGTATGTATATGTTATATGTACATGTAGGTACATATTATGTGTGTATGTATGTATGTATGTATGCATGCATGCATGCATGCATGCATGCATGTATCTATCTATCTATCTATCTATCTATCTATCTATCTATCTATCTATCTATCTATCTATGTGTGTATGTATGTATGTATGTATGTATGTATGTATGTATGTATGTATGTATGTATGTATGTATGTATGTATGTATGTATGTATGTATGAACGTACGTATGTATGTACGTAAGTATGTATGTGCATGTATGTATGCATGCATGCATGCATGTATGTATGTATGTGCGTGCATATGCATGCACGTGTATGTATGTGTACGTACATGTAAGGGGTGTGTATGTACGTATATGGTATACGTACTTGCAGGTATATATGTATGTGTGTATGTATGTATGTGTATGTATGCAAGACGTGTCTGCCAATATGTCTCGAGAGAGAGAGAGAGTCAAAACCAACAAAGAATGTGAGAGCAAAGCCGTCCGCAGGAAGGAGCAAGACCTGGGCACCAAAGCATCGTCCGCGCCTCAGCTGATTGGCTAAAGAGGTGGCCTCCAGGCTTTGTCTGTGACTCGGAACTCTTCGTCAAGCCAAAAGCGAACGACGGGATGGAACAGCGTGTGCAGCCGCGGATTCTTACAAACTGGTGTCACCATCTGAGCAAGGGTTCAGCAAGCACCTGCAAGTCGGCCAGTCTCCCATGTTGCTTGTTTGTCGGAGTCACCAGGATTGAGGCAAAAATGGGCAGTCCCCACACCCATGCAGACCCAACACACGCAGCACCTGGAAGAAGCGCCCCGTGGTGGGCAGGATGAGGATGTTGTAGCCTCCGTGTCGTAACGCGAGGGAGAGGAGTCAAGACCCCAAGACCCTTTCATCCATGTTGGAACCCGCCCGAAAAAAAAAAACAAAAAAACTCAGGTGATATCCCCAACGGCATGCGGTGCTCTTGATAGTGCTCGCACCACCCCGCAGCCCTCGCAGAACCCCGTGGAACCCTCATGAAACCCTGGTGGAATGGTGGAACCCTCGTGGAACCTTACCTCAGGGCCGCCCCGGACCACCCCGAAGCCTATCTGGGCTTAGACCCCAAAGCTTTCAGCTTTTGGGGAAAAAAACAGAAACTGTGGGACAATGGATTTCCAGGCAGTCAGGTTTCATGTTGGATGGGGGTGTACCTGAGGTTTTAGGCTGTGAAGGCAGCTTCTGCGAGCGGTGCCTACGCAACAAACGCCACACTGCCCTATGTGGATTGATATGTTCTTTGATTAGTAGAAGTTAGTGTTCGTAAGCTTTCGCTTGCGCGAACACTGCGAAGCCACAAAAGCAGAGCTGTTCAATGCATCCAATAAGGCTACGCCTTCCGCGACCTAGGACGAAACAACATGTCCAAAGCCATACTTTCTCACGAATACGACTTTCAATTGCAGGGAATTTAGAACGCTGCTCAACGACTGACTTCCCCCGGATCCGCCGAGATCCGCCGCAACACTCAACCTTTCCTTGATTGACGAGCGGCCATCGATGAACTCCGGGAAAATGCCCACCGCGTCTTCAAAGCGCGCTTGGTTGCATACATCCTCACCTCGCGGTGGACCCGCCAAAGGGTCGTGGTGTGTCCTTTGGTTCCCATTTGAAACACCCAAAACGGCATACCCTGAAGCAACCTATTGACGTTCCAAATGCCACGGCAAAAAGTTTAACTTGTTGGGGGTTAAGTGGAAAACACCTTTATTTCCCAAAAAGTTTAAAGTCTAAAGATCCAACCCAATAGCAGTCAAGTATTACATATTCTCTGAGCATGCTTCGATTTGAGGTCAGAGTTCGGCACCGTCCCGGATGGTACCTGAAGAGTCTCAACCCCAAAGCCCGCCCGCAAGTCCGTGCGCCAGTTTTCAGCGCCTTTTCAGCGGGTTCCCATCAACCAGAAACCGATAGGGGGCCTTCCCCCCGGCGTGCCACGAACATTTCGCGTGGCGGGCAGAATACAAAAAAAAAAAAAACGACACCGCCCGAAGGTTGCAAGATGGACCCAAGGTGCTTGCAAACGAAGCAAGGGCCATAAAAGGTCGCCATGCGGTTTCCCTCCCTCACGAGATTGGCCAAAGCCCGAATTCTTTGCAAACTTTGACGTCCAGGACTTCGGGATGTCTGGGAATTGACACGGCCAAGAGAAAAACGGACCCTCTTTCTTTGCTTTTTGACTCTTAAGAACGCCCCTCCCCACGCGAAAGAAAAAATAACAAAAAACAGAAACGAACAACAAGCGGAAAGGAGCAAAACTCACCAAAACAAAAACAACGGACCCCACCAAGGGCTCCAGCCCCCCCTCTGTGTTACCAAAACCACCGCCTTTGCGGGAGGAAAAAACAAAAAACGGCCGCTGCAGTGGGCCGCTGGCGCCTGTGAGGTTGTATGTCCCCATGATCTTCCTGGAGTCTCTGGTGCCCACCGTCATGGCGAAGTTCCGCAGCTTCGCGTTCCTCGGGGCTTCAAACGGCCGAAAACGGCAGATGGTCAGTCGGGAGCGCGTCGTGCAAGGTGCACCTGGAGAAAAGATTGGGTCAAAAATATGGCAAAATGGAGTCATGAAACTGGTGTTTGAATTTGTTTTTTGGGTTGTGGAGATGTCTGCGGCATGCCTTACCTTCAACACACCTTCAGCACCCCTCCCCCAAGGTCTGCCTGAGGGTATATATTAAACCCGTCTTGGTGTTCTTTTCTTTGACACCTCCAGGAAACCGCCCATTTCAATTTTGCCCTTCAATACAAACCAAAAGCCCCGTTTGGGAGGCAGCCACGAGGGTCGCTGGTCCAAAGGATTGCTTTGGGGTCGACCTTTTCGATCTGAAAAGGGATTCAGCTCTGAAGGGAAAAGCAAGTGGAGGGTATCAGGGTGTCAAGAAAAGGCTGAAGAGAAAGTCTAGACCATTGGCACCCTGCCTGACCCGGGGCACCCATCCCTCAAATCCCATCAGAAGTCCCTCCCAAAAACAAGTGAAAAACACGGAAGCAACCTTCTGTAACCGCCAAAAAGACTGGCATCAAGTAAGCGACAAACCAAGACGAAGGGCTCGAAGCCTGGCACGGTGTGCCGGAGCGCGTCCAGCGCGTGCACCACGTTCTGGCGGCCCTCCATCTCTGCGTTGGTGAGGCTCCTCACCGGGACGCCGCAACACCGCGCTCTCTTCAACCACCAAGGGCCCCAAAAAGGAGATGCCTCTTCACATGGCAGCTTGTTCCCGGGTTCATGTTCCGCAGGGGAGTAGATTCCTGTTTTTTTGTGTAAGCCCCAAGAAGGATCATGTTGATTTACTGGCAATAGGGTTGAATTTATCTTTTTGCGGAGGCGCGTCCCTTTCAGTGTTGTTGCGAAAGCTTCTGAGGGAAACAGCACATATGGGCCATGACTCCATGGAAAAAAACCGAGTGATCCCTGGAACAAAGATAGCCACACGACGGGCTTTATCCAATCTGGGGGTGGAACGTCAGTTCTCAAAGGAAGCAAGCGAGGAAATCAGCCCCCGCAGATATAAAGACAGGCAAGCAAGCAAGCAAGCAAGCAAGCAAGCAAGCAAGCAAGCAGGCAGGCAGGCAGGCAGGCAGGCAGGCAGGCAGGCAGGCAGGCAGGCAAGCAAGCAAGCAAGCAAGCAAGCAAGCAAGCAAAGCAAGCAAAGCAAGCAAAGCAAGCAAAGCAAGCAAGGCAAGCAAAGCAAGCAAAGCAAGCAAAGCAAGCAAAGCAAGCAAAGCAAGCAAGCAAGCAAGCAAGCTTCGACCAGCTCGAAGCTTCGGACTCTGCCCGCGATTTGCAACCGCCCATATCGCGCCTGACGCAGGTTGGATCTACACCTGCATCACGCGCGGCCCACTGGGTAGTGAAAGACAGCAAGCGGTCATGAGTGGTGTCCAGCTCAGCCACGGCATTCCTAAACAAAAAATGGTGGGCCCATATGGCCATGTGTCAAAATACGGGCACCCCCAAAATCATGGCTTTGCTGGTGGTCTGCCTCTCCTAAAGGGGCACCCTCAACATTCACACAACCCAAACTCAGTGAACCTTAAAAACGTACAGTGTATCAACATTTCAGCAGACGTCCCAAATTCCAGCATCACGTCCAACACGACATGACAACTAGTATTGGCATTCTAAGAATGGGTATGATAAAACGAGGACACCTTTGGGTTGCCTTTACAACAAGGGTCCCCCCCTAAAAAAAAAACAGAAGCCGTGGAAAACCAATTGCTTGTCTCAGCCCAAGCTGGTTTCCCTTTAGTCTCCCTTCTGCCTAGAAACCACCTGGCGTCTCTTTCTGAGCCTCCCAAAGAGACTGGGAGACTGGGGTGGCAACCCATGTCCTGTTCATAGACCCGAGAAAGCCCAGCCCGATTTCTGTTTCTAAGGGAGGCATGGGGGGGACGCCAGGCACCTCGAAAACAGGCACCTCGAAAACACGTAAACCCACGCCCAACCAAAGTCCGTCCGTTCGGACCCCGTCGCGGCCTCCCTACAGCTGCCACTTCGGCCCAAAAGCTCTCGGACACTCCGTCCCATCGGACCCCCCCCTCAGCCGTCCGAAGAACTCACCAGGGACGCGTCCGAAGGACGCGTCCCGCACGAGGAAAGCGGCGTGTAGAACCCGAAATGGCCCGCGCCTTTCTGGTGCACCAGGTTCAGGTTGGTGGCCTCTCCGGCCTCCGAGAGGGCAGACCAGGACCCCCCGAAGTGCCGCAGCTTGTCCTGTGGGATCACCCCTGCCTGAGCGCGCTCCGAGAGGGGGGGAGTGGGGGGGGGGGTTTGGGGGGTTGGCGGGTTGGGCTTGGGAGTGGGGGTCGGGGCTTGGGGGCTGGGGGCTGGGGGCTGGGGGTTGGGGGTTGGGGGGAGTGCTCCAGGGAATTGGAGAGCTTCTGGAGGGCTGCGGGAGGTTTGGGGGAGCTTTGCAGAAGATTAAAGGGCGGAACTCACAAAAATGGCGCTCGAACCTTCGCCCTCTCTGGGCGAAACAAGTGAAAAGCGTGCAATGGTTGAGCTGGAAACCTGGCAGTATAGGGGCTGGGGGCCCTGTGCTTTCGTGCCAATGCAGGGAGCATGGGCACAACTTGGACAGTGCGAAGTGCGAAGTGAAGAGTGTTCTGTGCCATCAATGAAACCTTCCTTTTCACCCCGAGGCTCAAGCGAAGTCTGAAAATACGTCCCAGGCATGTTCCTGCCTGCGCTGCCTTTTCGAACTCGCTCTGAAGGTAGGGAGACTTCAAATTCTCCTGGGGATGAATCCCAACCCCACCTTGCCAGGCCCGGCCCTCTGCCTTTCTCGCCAGAAATCCAGCGAACATGTCCTGAGATCCCCAACCGGCGCGTCGGGCACTGCTTTGACCCGGGCGAAGCTGACAAGAAGGCCACCCTCTTGACGGCTTTGCACCCTAACGTCTTTGCACCAGCTTCGCGGACAAGGGGGGAGACATGCCTGCAGGAAACTAGATCAAGGCACCTGCCTGTGCCGAACTTGGGGCAGCAACGCCAGAAATCCCGAGCTGCGGGAGTTCTATGTGGAATCAAGTTCAGCATGCGCTGAAGGTATACGAGCAGCGTAAGTCTCAACGCAAAGTCTCCCATGACACCTTGCCATCAAGTGAGTCCCTATTCAAAACGCGCTGACACAGGAGCCCTTTTTAGGCCGACCCCGTATTATTACAAACAACATTAACCCCAAATAGAATCCGCCGACCCCTTTGCAAAAGCCAAGTTAGTCTCTGCAAAGGGGCGAGGCGTGTTCTAAGTGGTGGTTAGGGGAGTCTGAGGGGGGGAGGGGGGGGCCCGCGGCGGATTTTTGACACGCCTAACCTCTAACTCTAACCTCTAACTCTAACCTCTAAGCCTAACCTCTAACCCTAACCTCTAGCCCTAACCTCTAACCCTAACCTCTAACCCTAACCTCTACCCTAACCTCTAACCCTAACCTCTAACCCTAACCTCTAACCCTAACCTCTAACCCTAACCTCTAACCTCTAACCCTAACCTCTAACCCTAACCTCTAACCTCTAACCCTAACCTCTAACCCTAACCTCTAACCCTAACCTCTAACCCTAACCTCTAACCCTAACCTCTAACCCTAACCTCTAACCCTAACCTCTAACCCTAACCTCTAACCCTAACCTCTAACCCTAACCTCTAACCCTAACCTCTAACCCTAACCTCTAACCCTAACCTCTAACCCTAACCTCTAACCCTAACCTCTAACCCTAACCTCTAACCTTAACCTCTAACTCTGATGATGACGAAGGCGATATGATGATGATGATGATGATGATGATGATGATGATCATGATGACGATGATGATGATGATGGATGAATGATGATGACGATGATGATGATGATGATGATGATGATGATGATGATGATGATGATGATGATGATGATGATGATGATGATGATGATGATGATGATGATGATGGTGCTGATGATGATGCTGATGATGATGATGCTGATGATGGTGATGATCATGATGGTGGTGATGATGATGATGATGATGAATGATGATGATGATGATGACGATGATGCTGATGATGATTATGATGATGCT